GAATCTCCTTTAGGCATGTCTTTTGAGATAAGCATAATCTCAACTACTTTCTATCTCTTTGGATGTCAATTCGAAGAATCCTAGAGGCAGCTCTTAGATCCTTCATGTTGAACTCCTTATCAATTTCAGCCTTCACCTTCATAACATCTTCGACATTGTTGCTTTCTATGAGGATGTCATCCACATAAAGTAACAAAATAACAAGTGAATTTCCAAATCGAAACCTGAAGTAAACGCAGTGGTCAAACTGGCTCCTAGTAAAACCTATGTGTGCCATGAACTTGTCAAATCTCCTATTCCATTGTCGAGGATATTGTTTCAGGCCATACAATGATCTATTCAACTTTCACACATAATCTTCATTTCCCTTTTCTACATACCTTTCAGGTTGCCTAATCAGAATTGTTTCATCTAGATCACAATACATGAAGGTTGTCTTCACATCTATATGTTCAAGTTCTAGGTAGAACTTCGCCACCATAACAAGCAGCATTCTAATGGACTTATGCTTTACAACAGGTGATAACACATCATTGAAGTCGACACTTTTTTTATGAGTGAACCCCCTAGCAACCAACCATGTCTTAAATCTCTTCGGCATCACTCCTTTGATTCATTCCTTGACCTTGAAAATCCACTTACATCTGACTAACCTGCCCCTTACAGGTTTCTCAATCAACTCCTAAGTGTTATTATCATGAAGAGATTTGATCTCATCATCCATGGTTTTTAGCCATTTAGTCTTGTCTCAACTCCTCAGAACTTCCTTATAGTCTCTAGGTTCTTCATCGAGAACCTCACTTGCAGAGATTAAGGCATAAGCTATGAAATCTGCATAACCAAGTCTCTGAGGTGGCTTGATGACTCTTTTTGACCTGTCTCTTGTCAGCAGGTGGTCATTATCATTTTCCTCATCTTCATCAGCAACCTGTGCTACATCTTCGACTTCACCTTGGTTATGCAATTCATCATCACTATGTTCCACCTCAACAGAAATTTCTTTATGTTCCAGCTCTTCTTCAGAGATCTTCAAACTTCGACCAACATCATCTATTTTTATTGAAATCCATCTCAACTTCATTGAAAAATCATATCTCGACTTGTGATACACCTCCTATGACATGACTTTAGGCACCACAACCTAGAAGTTTTGACTCCTTCAAAGTATCCAAGGAACATATATCTCAAAGCTCTAGGTTTGGCCTTGTCTTGCCTAATGTGAGCATAGGCTAAACAACCAAATACTCAATCTATCGAGACTAGGTGGATGTCCCAGCCATACTTACTTAGGTGTCTTCATTCCCAAGGCATTCGAAAGACACCTATTTATCATGTATGTTGCAGTCACAGTAGCTTCTGCCCAAAACACCTTCTTTAATCCTGCACTTACCAACACACACCTCACCTTTTATAGAATAGTTCGATTGCACCTTTCAACCAAACCATTGACTATTGTCGGTTCTCAATCTCTTGACCTTCCTGCCAATTTGGTTTTTGACTAAGGTCTTCCAACTTTTGAAATTTTCAAAAGTTTCATCCTTAGTCTTTTGGATGAATACTCATAACTTTCTAGAATAATCATTAACTAGGGATAGGAAATACTTTGCACTTGAGTGTGAAGGATTCCTCGCACACCCCCAAAGATCAACAAGAATGTAATCAAGGGATTCACGTGTTCTTTTTTTACCTTTATTAAACTTCACCCTACAGGATTTACCAAATACACAAGGTTTACAAACTCCAGTTTTTCGACCTTGTCACCACATAGCAGATTTTGTTTCGACAATTCGACCAATCCTCTTTCACTGACATTTCCAAGTCTCTTATGCCATAGTTGAGTCTTTGACACAGGTTTTGTGAATACCACATTTGTTGAACAACTTACAACCTCAGCCTCAAGGGTATACAATCCTTGTTTCTCCACGCCTCTCAAGACTTCCTTTGACGCCTTCATTACCCTTAGGATACTTTGCTTTCCTTTGAAAAAATATCCTTTCTTGTCAAATTCACCAAGATAAATCAAATTCCTCTTAAGATCAGGTACATACCTGACATCATTCAATATCCTTATTGACTTATCATGGAGTTTAAATCTGACATATCCAATTTCTACAGTCTTGCAGGCTTTTTTGTTTCCCAACAGCATTGATCCACCATCTTGATCACATAATTCCTTAAACACGTTTTTGTTTAGAGTCATGTGCCAAGTACAACCTGAATCCATAATTCGCTCCTTTCGAGAGTCGCTGCTTGAAACCACCAGGACATCAGATGATTCATAACCATCTTACAGAATGGTTGTATTACCATTATCCTTTCCTCTGTGATTATTCGGTCGATCAGGACACATCTTTCTTGTATGACCCCCCTTCTTACATTGATAACACATAATTGCAAGAGCATTACCACCATAAGAATTGTGTTGAACTTTACCTTTCTTCTTCTCAAACCTACCATCTTTCTTCAAGAATTTACCCTTAACGGACAAACCATCACCAATAAAAGATGGCTTGTGTTCCGTTCATTCGTTCAAATCCTTATAGTATAAGGCTGGTTGAACTTCTTCAAAGGTTAATGAATCTCTTCCATGCAAGGGAGTTTCTTTGAAGTGAGCATGAGACTTAAGTAAAACACACAACAACAGCAATGCTTGATCTTCATCATCAATCTTGACCTCGATATTTTCAAGATCAAGAATCAACTTGTTTAACATATTCAGCTGCTCAGCCAAGACTTTGTCTTCACTCATCTTAGACGAATACAAATCTTACTTCAGGTAGAGACGATTAACCAACGATTTCGTCATGTACAGACCTTCGAGTTTCGTTCATGCATTGACTTTTGTTTTATCCTTCAAGACCTGACGGAGAACCTTATCACCAATGCTCAATATGATTGCACTGTCGATCATCGTCGTCTTCTCCTTATCCGTTAGGGCATCATTCATCTTCCATGATCCTTTCAACGCTTCTAACAAACCCTAATGAACCAGTAGGGCTTGCATCTTCAAGTGCCACAAACCGAAATCATTCACACCGATGAATTTCTCAATCTCATACTTTGTTGACGACATCTTCTCTTCTATGCTCACTGCACCAGTTTGTTGTGAATTGATGTCGTCAAGAACAAAGCAAAATATGATAAAGAATGAGTTTCTTGAACAAACACAAGAAACCCTATTAGGTTTTACGAAAGAAAGAGAAGAAGGAAGAAGAATTGAAATTGGTTACTTTAATATTCACTTACTCAATAAGGATTCAAAGATTAGAAGTGAATAACAACAATTAACCTATCTTAACAACTTGTGAGAACTAGTCTATTTATAGACTACTAACTTAACAATTGATCTTACAAGTAAGGTCCAATTCGACATGCTTTAAACAAAGCATATTTAGTTAGCATGCTTGAACAGACTTCGACTACATCATGCACAACTTCTGTCAAACTATAAAACTACTCTTGTCAAGACTAGAGTTCAATCCAAATACCACATAGATTCACTAACATAAAATGGTGATTAGAAAAATCTCAAATTGGCATTGGCTACACGGTCTTTCTAAGTTTAAACTTAATTATATTCTACTTCTCCTACTAACTTAATGATTTGCTTACTAATGTTTGAATAATTTTGTTATATTACCATACTATAAATTAAATGTTGCATTCACTAATTTAGTCATATGTTGAATTTCTAAGATGAAATGTTGTAAAGTGCTAAGTTTCTTTAAACAGCCAAACATGTGTTTTATTTCATTAGGAAAGAAATGAAAGAAAACCAAAATGAGAGACAAAAGAACTTAGTAATAAATATTCTTGACTTGCAAAACTTCAATTCAATTTCACTAGTTTGGAAATATCATGTACAATTCTTTGATAGTTGTGTGCAGAAACTAGAAATAATTCAACTTTTACCCTCTATGGATGTTTCATAGAAACTCAATCAAACTCTGACCCCTCTTTCAAGAGTAGAGTAAGAGGACATTCCAAATCATGATCATTGATTGAAGAATAACTATTCCATGAAATAGTACTCTCATGAAAATGTATATACTATATTGAAAGGAAATTTTGTGACAGTTGAATCCTTAATGTGCACATGGTCGTGTTAGGCACGGCATTGGCCACTATCACATGTAGCATATATTATAATAAAGCCTCACCAAATCCATGAAAAGTTGATAACTTCTTCTGTCAACTTTATAACTTGAATTTGAATCATGCATGTAGTTTTTCATGGAGAGTTGTGTACAATAGAGTTTCTTAACCTAGCAATACTTTCCAAAAACATCTATTTGCTTAATAAATACATAACTTAACTTGCTTAGTTTACATTCAATTTATTTCCTAACTCAATCTATCATATTCATCACTACCAATACAACAACTATCCAAATCATTTCTTTCACACCAGACCAAAAACCGTCTGGTGTGAAAGAACCGATTTGAAAATAATAGCAGTAGAAAAACAGAAAGAAGTAGAACTATATGCGCGGAAGAATTAATACAAGAGTCCATTTATAGATGAAAAATTACATATGCAAATAAAATACATGTCTTATTGATTCATTCAGTTCGAAAACTGGAAATCAAACTATAGTATGATGATTTTACTCATTTTCCTTAACAAATTATACACTGGCACGAATCAGCATATGCTCTATCGTCGATCATGAATGCTACATTTCTAAAACTACAACAATTACATTCAGAGGCGAGGAAAAAAGAAAGAATAAAAGAGAATATGATGTATCTTGTTTTCTTCGACACTGGAAAATAGGGTGCCCGGGCGAATAATCTCGAGTCTCTCCACCAACAAGAAAACTTCCTCAGTGCAGGTAACAAGAGGTTCCTTCCTAAAAAGGGGCGTCTTTGGTGAAGTGTATGAAACATGGTGATTCGAGCAACACAGGCAGATAAAATGCTAAGGGAAGAACAATCACAAGAATCGTAATGAACAAGAATTCATAGATCCTATATAAAAAAAGAATCCATAATCATCATCACTCGACAGCTTTCTTCCCACCGGAATAGTAATTCATGTACCACCTCACAAATTTCTTCAAACCAGTCTGCAGATCTGTCACCGGCTTATAACCAAGCTCTCCCTGCGCGTAGCTAATATTCGCATGAGTGAACTGGACATCCCCGTTCCTCGGCAACTTCATAATATTCCTCTTTGCCTTAGTCTTCAACAGCCTCTCCAAAATACTCACAAGATCGGTAACAGGAACAGGTGAGGTGTTCCCTAGATTGAAAACCCTCAACTGAGCCGGCGCCCTCTTCTTCCCGCCACTTCCGGTACTCTTCTCGGCAGTATCCAACGCACCTAAACACCCCCTCACGATATCATCTATATAAGTAAAATCCCTAGCAACGGTACCGTGATTCGCTGCCTCGAAAATGGAAATCGTCTTCCCCTTCAAAATATCTCTAGTGAAAAAGAAGTAAGCCATGTCAGGTCTACCCCAAGGACCATAAACAGTGAAAAACCGCAAGCCGGTTAGCGAAAGACCGTATATATGATTATAAGTATGAGCGATTTCTTCGCCGGCTTTCTTAGTAGCAGCATACAAACTAGCAGGTTGATCTGTTCTATCCTTCTCAGAAAAAGGAACCTTAGTGTTCAATCCATAAACAGAACTAGAACTAGCCCAAACAATTGCAGGTTGAGGATTAACAGTTTTACAAACTTCAAGCAAATTAACAAAACCAGCAATGTTACTATGAACATAAGAACCAGGATTCTCCATAGCATACCTCACACCAGCTTGAGCAGCCAAATGCATGACATGAGTAAAAGGAACAACCTCAAAAAGCTTCCTTAACAAAGCAGCATCATTGATATCACCTTCCACAATGTAAACACCGGTTCTCTCCAAAAGAGCTTGCCGTGCGCGCTTCAAAGAAGGGTCATAATAGTCATTGAAGTTATCAAGTCCCAGAACACCGTCTCCGCGGCGCTTAAGCGCCGCAGATACATGTGTTCCGACGAAACCTGCGGCTCCGGTCACAAGAACGGAGAACCCGTTTTTGGACCGGACCCTAGCGGAGGAACGGACGCGTTTCTCCCAAACCGGACCACCCCAGTTGGAAGGGCTTCTCAGAGAACGGCGAGAGGGATCCGCCGGAAGAGAAGACGTCGCCGGAGATCGGAAAAAGAAGATCAAGATTGCAGCTGAGAAAACAAAGGTCCAAAGAGCAAGCTTCGCCGGAGAAGTGTACCACCGTACACGGTTGAAGTAAGAAGCTTTCTCCATCTTGAACTTTCCCGGCGTCGACGGAGCACTGTTGTCGGCGTGCGACATTTGCTTCAGCTGAGACATTTTCTCATAAAAACGTCAGATTTTGATAGAAGAAACGGCAGGTAATTGATTGGTAGTACCCAGAAAGATAGAGAGAAAAATTTCAGATTTTGAAATGAACCCAAGATTTCTCTTCCTTGATTTCTTCAAATCTCGATGCCGATTGAAGTTTCTGGATTCGTTCTCTGGTTTCCCCCAAATGTGTGTTTCTCAGAAATTTGAGTTTAGGGTTTCTTTTTATGAAAATGCTATGGTGTTGTGTTTGTGAGATTGAAGAGAGTGATGAAAAGAACCAAAAATAAAAACAATAATGAAAATGAGTTTTTTATTTTATTTTTATTTTTGGAGTTGGTGAGTTGGCTTTCTTTTTCTTTTTTGATTATTTTATTGAATTTTTTTAGGGTTTTTTTTTCTTTTCAAATTGGGAATCTTGTTTCTTGTAGGAATGGGTTAGAGGTGGTGGTGGGCACACTTTGGTTTTCAATTATTTCACGGATTAAAAAAAGTGATTCCAAGAACAAAATTGATTTAAGAAGAGAAGAAGTTGAATGTTCTTTGAGAACATGTGAATCAAGGAGGTGAAAATTAGTATTCAATGAATTAGGATGATTTAGATTTGGATTTGTGTTGTTAGAAACTTTTTTTTTTTCTTTGCCTCATAGGAAATACAATAAGTGTCACATTCAAGAAAACCAATACAAGTGGATGGGTAGTAAAAATAATGATAATTTTTTATTTGTTGGAGATCCTTAAATTTAGGAGTTTTCTTTTTAATAAATATGTTTAATGTAGGAACACTTTGGTTAAGGATATTGTTGTGTGGAGGAAAGTTCTCTCCTTTTTAATTGGGTTTCAAGCATTAAGAATTAAGGAACATATAATGGTTGGTTGGTTGGTTGAATATGCAAATGCATTGGATGAAATTTTGAGGCAATAAAGGGACTCTTCAAATTTACACTATTAGAAAGCATGTGAGATTCTTAGGAGTTTGAATTTTCATAACCCTTGAATTTAGTGAATTTAGAGTCAAACTATAATTTATTTTTACTAATTTTGTCAAGTCATGTTAGATATTAGTACTTCTTATAAGAGGTAAATAGATGCATCACAAAGTTGACAATTTAGACTTACATTAAACATGAATATATACTAGAAGAAATTTGATGACTTGAAATTAAACAAATATGGGTAGATTCAATAAATGGGATTTTACTTTCAAGTTTTCAACAAGAAACTTAGTAATTTTGGAAGAAAATTAATTGCACATAGTTGGTTTCAAATAATTGTGTTGCTTATAAACTATTATTATTACTTCATGCATTACTTATAATCAAAGTAAACTATGGGCACAAAGTGTGTGTGATACATTGAAGCAACTTTTTCATCAAGTGACTTCTTGGTTTTCTAAATTACATTGAATTCTATTAAGTCAATGGATCATTTAAAAATCTCAAACTCAATAGTACTAGTAACATTATAGAGATTAAAAAACCTTTTATTTTACTTATCTCTTCTTAGAAGTTAAAACTTAATTCAAAGATTTCAACTAAACCACTAAAACAAATCTATTGGAGTTTTTTATTTTGCTTAAAGCATCATTCTTTCATATTTGTTTATGTATAAAACTAAATAAGTTGTGTTGTGAAATTTTAAAGTTAACTTATTAATAGACTAATAATTATTAACAATATCTTTTGTTTCTTTATGAGAAAAACTTTGGTTTTAGATTTTGTTTGGATTAAAAGAATATGATGAAATGAAATGATATGAGATAGAATTGAGTGATATTCAATTGTATGAATTAGTTAAAATTAAATAGGGTGGAGCGAAATAAAATGGTATCGATTTCATTACATCACTAGCTATAATATTTCTGATTCTTTTATTTAGATGGAATGGAGTGGTACCAAATTAATTCGATCAATTATCATTTTTTTTTGGAAAGAATGAACAATTTTTCTTATTTCGTTTTAAAGTATTCAAACGATGAAATAAAATCTTCATTTTGTTTTGTCTCATTCCGCTCTATAAAACTCCACTCTTTTATATTTCAATTTGTGTTTTATAATATTCAAACATAATTTTAACTACTCTATAGGGAGGATATTGAGCTACTAAATTAAAAAAAAAATATACATAAAAATAAAAATAAAATAGATAAAATGTGTAAAATAGTTTAATCGATTGATTGGGTCTCATAAAATAATTACAATTTGTGGTATTTATCATGGAAACAGTCTTACTATATCCATATAATTGTGCCTTGCAAATTTTGTGCTCGTACTCTCTTGACTTGCTATAGGTTGAAGGAAGTTCTCATGAAATATAAGGTGTAAACAAGTTGTTAACAACAAATAAACAAATTTAGGGCTATATGGATTTTTCTAAAGGAGGTAAGTATATTCTAATTCAATTAAATATTCAAATTTTTCTCAAGTCCACAAAGGATCACGAGTGTCATGGATATATTAGAATCGATTAAAGTTCAGTGAAACTCTAAATTTTATCGTTGTAATCGTATTTCATGTTTATAACACCACTAATCAAATTGATCATTTATACAGAGTCACGTTATAAGATAAACATGTGAAAGTAGTGACAAATACAAAAAAAATAAGAGTTCACGTTGTGTTAGCATTTTTTTTAAATTAGTTTGAAAAAAGCAAACAAAGGATGGTAAATAAAGATGATAAAGGAAAGAAAGAATTAACACATTATTTTATTTTAATACATAATAAATTATATAAAACATGTGTAAGTATTTCGATGTAGAATGGAAGATTGATGATGTACGGAGCAAAGCTCTCTGACTCAGCGATGCATATCTCCGTACAATTGAGCGGTGGTGAACCTGTAAAGTACTCTAACATCTAAGTTTGATGATATTAGAGAGATGAAACTTTGCAAGAGTGAATAAAAAAGTATCTATTATGGAACGCATATGAGTTTATATATGATAAATGGTTAAAATCACTCTTGGTCGGCACAACATGGAATGCAGGAAACTGTTGGATTAGATCCAATGACTGATGGTAAGCAAGTAACTCAGATCCAATGTACGGCCTACTAGAAAGAGCCTACATGTCCATCATTTTCCTATGACTATATTCCAGATTGAGTCTATGGCATTGGGTTAATCTTGTTGGACTATTTGGGAAACTAATAAAAGTTTTCCCGGAGTCATTGTGATCATGTATGAAGCCAAGATTGTGTTGGAAGTTTAGATTTCGTCCTTAAGACCATTCTTCTTCCCGATATCGGAATACTTAGGCAGACTTCTACCTTAGAGATGAGACCAAAGACGTGTTAAGTGAGAGCATGTGACCTCGGGAACATGCGCAAATACTTGCCTTGTAACTAAAAGATTTCATGGTATAAATTATCCACATGTCCTTAATGAAGGTGAGATAATACTTAGAAGGGGGGTTGAATAAGTATGAAAGATTAAATCTTAGAATTAAAACACAAGTATTTTTATCCTGGTTCGTTGAACTCAACTACTCCAGTCCACCCTTCCTAGAGTGATTTGCCTTTCTCAACAAGGACTTAATCCACTATTTAATCAAATAGATTACAATAGTAACACCTAAGAACAACTGTTCTTAGTCTTCTCAAGAGCTACTGATTCCAACTGAATCCTCTTAAGGAAATCCTTTACAATCAATGTAAATATAATACAAGAGTAAGAATGCTTTTAAAAAGCTTTTATCACAACAGTGATATTTCTCTTAAGTTTAAGTACAAATAATTCTAAGAATGAGTATGAAAATATGAGAGCTTTGAATGTTTCAATTTCTTTTCAGCAAAATGTCTCACTGAAGAATTTGGTGGAGACTTGCTTTTATAGGCAGCTGATCCAAGGGAGCTGCACGTTGAGAAGAGTGTCCCAAAAGGTCTGAGCCTTTTTGTCTTTACATCAACTGACCTTTCCTAGAAGAAGAAAGCACAGAAAAATCCTTTTTGTCTGTGTTCTTGTGTCTAGCATAAATGAGAAAAGAGACGTTTGATTTTCTCCAATGGATATATTCTTTGAATATTTCTTCTTCAGTTTTCAGCAAGTTCATCAGAGTCTAATTGAGTCAGAGTCTTCTGATGATGATCAGAGCTTGCTGGATCAGAGTCTTCTGCAGCAGGTGTGCTTTCAGCGTGTTAAATATCAGAGCATATTTGGAACAGAACTTCAGTACTGACAGCTTTAGTACTTTCAGAATCTTCTGTAGAAACTTATACTTTGAAAAACTCTTCATACAATATTCTTCTTTGCTTCAGATGCTTCTGACTTGCTTCAGATTCTTCTGGAGCTACTTCTTCATATCCTTCTGGAGCTTCTGCTTCAGATTCTTCTAGAGCTTCTGCTTCAGAATTTTCTGGAGGCTACGCTCAGAATCTTCTGTTGGCAGCAATCAGAATCTTCTAATGAGTGCATCTGGCGCTTCAGAGTCTAATTAATTTCTTGCATTCAATTCAGATTTGCTTCTGGAGTATCAATTTCTTTACTATCTGCAGTAAAAACTCTCAAGCAAATTTTAGAGTATATAATTCTTAAATACAAAATTTCCTAATAGTTATCATCAAAACATAGAGATATTATTAAGAACCAATCTGTGTTCTAACAATCTCCCCCTTTTTGATGATGACAAAAACATCAGAAATTTTGTTTAATTGAAAATATTAGAATTATAACTCCCCCTGAGATGTTGAATCTCCCCCTGAGTTAAATACAGAAAAGGAATAGAAACTTCCCTTTTGTCTTGAGTAATCTTCAGAGTTAGATCTTGTTTGTTCTTATAACATTTGAAGGTCATGATGTCTTGCAGATTTAATGTTCAGAGTTTGATAATGGTCAAATGATCTAAGAGACTCAGAGTTTCTTTTATAGAATTTACTTATCAAATGTTCTGAAATAGTCAGATTAAATGTTAGATAGAATAAATATGTCTGAAGTTTCATTCTGGTGAAGTTATATTATGAAGGAAAATTGCGATCTAAACGCAGCGGAAAACAAAAATTTCCTTTAGTGA